CAGGTAAAGATTCTCTTTAATGTCGATATCGTCTTCCATAGGTTGCTCGATTACAACGTCTTCTGTTGAATCTTTGTTAATCTTGGTCGGTATAGAGTCACTGTTCACTCGGCTCGAGGTGGAGTTATCGATGATCTCCCTGGACAATGGGTGGTACATCGTGTCGTCCAGGTAAAGATTCTCTTTAATGTCGATATCGTCTTCCATAGGTTGCTCGATTACAACGTCTTCTGTTGGATCTTTGTTAATCTTGGTCGGCATAGAGTCACTGCTCACTCGGCTTGAGGTGGAGTTGTCGATGACCTCGGAGGACAACGGGTGGTACATCGTGTCGTCCAGGTAAGGATTCTCTTTAATGTCGATATCGTCTTCCTCGAACGATTGGTGGCTACTGAAATTGTCACAATCGCTTTCGACGTCGCTCAACATTATGCGATCCTCCTCGAACTCGGAGATCGGAGGTGTCTGAATACGAATCATTTGATCCTGGTCCAGAATTGGTGTGCCGCCGCATTCTACGAACAACAGTTGCATTCGGTTCTCTATGGATTCCGCTGTCGACGATATCCTGAAACACCGATTCATTTAGTCAGTTACACGAAAGCATCCGTGACACTTACGAAAAGAAACAGAAAAACAATCATTTCAAACAGTATGGACTGTGAAACCATTCTTTAACGTCGTTCGACATTTTATTTTATCTGTTCGTTAGGGTAAGTTCTAATAGGGAGAAGAGAAACCCGATTTGGTAGACATCATCCACTATACAGAGAAAACTGGAAAGTTGTGAAAAGGATTCTTGGAAAGGAGAGGAATCGATGGACCTGTTGAACACAGCACCGAAGTGGTTTCGTTATAAATTTAATAGAAATTCACGATGGTCACTACTTACATCGAGAATTGTCACCATTTCTAGACTGATCTCTCTATATTCCCTTAGAATTGACGTGAAACTGTCCATAACTCATTCAATCTACAGACCTCTCGTTCTACTCCAGCCTCGGATATTCTCGGCACTCGGTAGATTATGTAACAATTGTTTATTCTCAATTACATTCAATTTCATACATCTTCGTGTTCTACTTGTCAAGTGTGTAGTGTTAAGGATACTCGTATTGTCGATGATAAAAAATAATGAACAACGTGAATCGTATCTCTCCACTACGCAACATGCAAAACACACTCTCTTACATGGACGTATCGACTACCATGCGTACAATGTTGTTTACAGAATTATAGAAAAATACTGTTTACAAAAGTACAATAAATTCGATATACTACAACTTCGGGATAACGTTTGTTGACGACGCAGAAATATGGAAACAACAGCGATAAAGAGTTCATAAATGTAATTCATCACTGGAACAATGAAAGGACACGAGAAACGTGTAAAGCCAATTAAGAAACATTTATAGGACCGTTCAAGCATCTCTTCGATTGTACCTAATATCTCGATTAACGCACTAGACAGAATAAAAACAAGCGGAATCTTATCGAATGTTCACAGTACTTCTGTTCGAGACTCTCACTGTATACACTTTCTCGACATGATTCCCCCTGTACACTCGCAAATCTCAAAAAATCAAGGTAACGGGAACACAACCGTTGAAACTAGTCAGTAGTCTTGGCCATCTTCATATACTCCCTGAGGTTCAGAGGTGGAGGCGGAGGGAGATTTCCAGGATGCTTCTTGCGATGGACCATCATGCTGCTTCGCTGGGTGAAACTCCGTTTGCAGATATCGCATTTGTACGGCCTCAGGCCCAAGTGGGTCAATTCGTGCACTCTAAGCGAAACACTTGTCGTGAAACTTTTCAAGCAGACTTTGCACGGATGATCTCTATTACCCTCGTGTCTTAGCATGTGCAGTCGGAGGGAGTGTGGGTTGCTGACCCTCTTGCCGCACACAGAACACAGGAGGCCTTGCCCATGTACGCTATTGTGCCTCTCGAGGTGACGTTTATTTTTGAATACTTTGTTGCAGATTTCACACTGGGCCTTTTCTTTGTCCTCCTCCTTCTGTATCCCATGAGCGATACGTTCGTGGGCCACCAGGTAGGACTTCCTCGGGTAAACCTTCTTGCAACTTGTACAGGTGTACGTCCTGGGGCCCATCTGAGGTCCCCAATGCGCCTCCGCACCGTACGTATTGGAAACGGGATTACACTCTTCCTTCTGTTTGTCCCCTAGAGACTTTGGGTCTACAGTTGTGTGCTCCCGTATTTGATGCGCAATCAGTCTGTTCTTACGCTTGTATTTCCGATGGCAAACATTGCACTCCACATAAGTGTCTTTCTTGTGGACCTCCGAGTGTGTCTTGAGGTCTACCTCGGAGGAGTAGGTGCGGTGGCACTTACTGCAACGGAATTGGTTCTCGTGCTTTCGTCTGTAGTGTCTCTCCATTTGCTGGGCAGTCTTGAAGCTCATCTCGCACAGGGGACAGGTGTTCCGTATTTGCTCTAACGCCATATCCACCTCGTCCACTTCTTCGCTTTCGGGTTTCTTCTCGATCGCAGGTTCATCCTGCACCACTTCTTTCGTTTCCTCCTCCTGTTTTTCCTCCTGTATCTCCTGCGCCTGCTCCACCTGCTTCTCCACCACTTGTGGATTCTCGACGTTCACCGGCAACTGTACTGGTATCGGTTTGGGCAAAATCATCCGCTCCTTGACTGGTCGCTTCCCCTTATTCGTGTTGCGCGTGTCGGTTTTGCATTTCGGTGATGTGTACGTCCCTATATCGATGGGGACTAAAATTTTCTTAACTTCGTAACACATATCCCCGGTTGGAGTCTGTAACGGTACCAGAACGCTTTTGATGATATTCTTACCAGCCTCGTCTGTAACATCGTGAGGCACTAACGAGTTCTTAATTTCTCTAGTCACTGGGTCTATAATCGGCACTAACATCGTCGATGATACTACGGCGGTCGCGCATGGATCTTCTTTGACTATGTCGATCGCTGTGTCGTTGTTAACCTCAGTAGGCACTTTGTTGAACAAGGAACTCCCGTATACATCGTTCGATAACGAACAATAATTCGAAATACGTAAACCTGGGTCCCCGTTAATGTTGCTCTCGTAATCCTCCAACGGTGGTCGTTTCTCGACATACGTGTAGACGACATCGATTTCCTCTTCGTCGAAGACCGGCGGTGCCTTCACCCGGATCGGCTCCCGATCGTAATTCGAGGTGCAATTCCCTTTACAGTCTACAAAAAGTGGTTGCACTGGATTACGCGTATCCGCGATCGTTGAGATCCTGAAACATCCATTCGGTTAGTCAATCGCAAGAAGGGCACAATACGCTCGGTTTGTACAAAGATAATAATGAACACGATCTTCGTGGTGCAGGCGCCTCTGCGGCCCCGTCCACTCGACATGTCGTTCATTTTCGCATCGTAAAGGCAGATTTTGTAATGGTTAGTCGGTCGTGAAAAGGATCGGGGTGGGATGCGACGGGTAATTATCACAAATGAGATAATGAGAATCGAACAATTCCTGAAAAGGATTTAATCAAAAGGAACGAAGTGTTCAGTACAAGCGATGGATCTGTTGAACATTGCACTGAAATAATGTCGTCTTTGCGGTTAATGTGAATTTACAGTTAATGCTACTTACATCGATAAATGTCACAGCGTTTTAGAACAACCGACGTTAGTTCTTTGAAGAGAACTCGCTTACATACTCTTACAATCAACGTGATGCCCGTTCGACAAACTGTACTAGCTGCGAATTCGCACTCCTTCGTTATGGATCTTCCCGGAGTTTACTGTTCTTTGCGACAACCGTTTTTATTTTAAGTACACTGAATTCTGTGAACGGTAAGACTTGTTCATTGATTAATGATGCAGTACTTGGTATCTTTCCAACTAAAAAGTAAAATCGAGAACGGTGAAACCTCTCCATTTTAAGATTTTCACAAAATATGATCCGCGAAGCAGCATTTATTGAATCAACACGGAATAAAACAGAAGTAATCATTCGTTGCAATTCGGAATTGTATAAAAACAGTGGCGATTGATCGGTGCATACGTACGCTTTGGGAAGTAAATGAGTGAACGAGCGTGGAAACGCAGTGTAGTCGAGCGAAGCACGCTATAACATCATAATGAGAGGCGGATCTAACTACTGAAACACGATTTTTCAATTAATGACGTATTAAATTGTAGGACGCTTTAAAATCTTTAAGAAACACTTATCCCTGATTAAAAGATTTAAATTTAAACATTTATAACTATCAATAAAAGGAACAAAAGGGTCCACACCATTTACCTTAGAACATGTACAGTAAAACTTGGATTAGTACCCGAAACGATCTACACTAATCTACGGCGTAAGTACCCAGTGTTCATCCCCACCACTGAGAGGGTCCCCCTTGGAATCAGTCAAGCATACAATGTATCACGCCGACAGCTTCCCAAGCGGAAGTCCAAAAAAGGGTAAATGTCCGCGTATCGGTGAAACAAGACTAATGCAATGATGAAATTTTTTAAATTTTTTTTTCAATGGAACTTTTACTAACGTATTTGTGAGATTTTTCTGATTAAAACAAGATCAAACACGGTATAATTTGGATATATTTACTTTTTGATATTGAATAAGTATTATGGATGATTAGTAAGTAAATATGATCCAAATTACACCATGTTTGGATCATTTTAATCAGAAAAATCTTGCAAATACGTTAGTAAAAGTCTCATTGAAATAAAACTAAAAATAAAATATTTTCATTTTTGTATTAGTGTTGCCTTATCGACACGCTTTTTCACTCGCTGACCTTTTCTACATTCGGCGTTGATTCTATATTTAGAATCGATTCCTCACTTTTCGAGTACTAATCCAGGTTTTACTGTACATTGAACTGAAACGTTCCATTCAGAAAAACTGATAGACCACATTCTTGCTCCTTTCGCGACACGTCTATGAATTAATACCAACATTTATAACAAAACAGAAGATTTCTCAAATCCTCAAGATCCACAATTCATAAAAAAAAAGCCGCGTTTCTAATCATGCTCCCCTCATCATAAGTTACAACACGACCATGTTTAACCTAACACAGTTAAATAACACGACGAAATCAGATATTCAGTCAATCGTTCAACGTCTCCGTTCAGTCCTGTCCCACACGTTGGACCGTCGATCCGACACTATTTCCCGGTAAAGTTCATCAACACCACACCACGCACGCGCACACGCACACACACAATGTAGTATTTTCGTTTAACAGTCTCCTCAAAAAGTATCCACGGTGTTCAACTGTCCTCTTCATCTACCTTGTCCAGTTTGCCCTTCAAAGACTCGAGTTTGTTAAGGTACACAGGCGGTGGTGGCGGATGATTACCCGGGTGTCGCTTCCGATGTGACATCAGGCCGCTACGTTGTGTGAATGCTTTTTCGCAGAGATCGCAGGTGTACACCTTCTCTCCGCAATGGATGAGCTTGTGGACCCTGAGGTGGGTGGAGAGGATGAACGTTTTGTAGCATATCTCACACTCGTACGGCCGTTCACCGGTGTGCGTTCGTATGTGCATCTGAAGGGAGTAATTCGTGTTGAATTCCTTGCCGCACTCTGCGCAGAGGAACTTCTGCATGTGAATGCGCACGTGTCTGTCCCTGTTGTATTCGGAGGTGAATCTCTTGGGGCATTGCGTGCACTTGAATGTCTTCAGGCTGATGTTCGGTTTCCTGTGCACGCATCGTTTATGGGCGGCCAGATGACTCTTTTGGGGATAAGCGTTTCCGCAGATGTCGCAGATGAAGTTGTTCTCCCCGGTGTGACGGGTCATGTGATCCTTGAGATTATAGTTGGACATGAAGGACTTGTCGCACTGGTTGCACGGATAACGGAAGTCCGCCTCGTGCATCCTACGCTGGTGTATCCTCACCGATATCCTGTTCTTGGTGGTGAAACTGCAGACATCGCACGAATATATGTTGTCCTTGTGCCGGTCTATGTGATTCACCAACTCCGTGCGACGTTTGAACGCTTTCTCGCACACGTCGCACTTATGGGGACGTTCGCTGCTGTGCTTGATCATGTGACGGTCGTACGATCCCTGATTTATGAACTTTTGTTTGCAAACCTCGCACGAATACTCTTCCTGTTGCTCCTTTTTCTGTCTTGTTCGTCTTGCCTTCTTTTCCTTCGGGTTCCTCGCGTATTTATGCTCATCCATGTAAACCAGATCTTTCTTCGCGTTCGTTCGTTTATCCGTCAACGGGGTTTTCTCGACCGACGGCCGAGCGGGCATAGGACCTTCGACGATGTCAAACTCTGCTGGTATCGCGTTCCGTATTACGATCCCCGGAGGTCTGCAACCAACAATGTCAGGTTTCAATATGTAATACGCAGTTGGTGTGTTTGATTTGTCGGAGCTTCTTCTTTCGGTCATTGGATGTTTCTTTAGTGGGGAATAACGATGGGATGTCGGTTTAACTGTGCTCTTTTTTTTTTTTTGTTTGTTCTAACGAGGATGGTGAACGGGAATGATATTTCTCGTCTAAACAGAATCGATGCAACAAGTGTGATCTAGATGGAACATAAAAGATCGCCAGCTTGCTTTATTCATTTTCAATCGATCATGCTTCGTTTTATTAAACGTATGATAACGAGTAATTAATAGCGTCAGTTAACATAAAATCGCTGTTTCGTCTAACTAAACTTCGAACGAATCGCCGGCGCATTGAAATCGCGATAACAACGTGTGAATTTCCGTTCCTGTTGCAATAATAGTCCATGCTTGCACGGCTTGGAAAACAGAGTAACAATACTCGCAAGAACACTATCCGAGTAACTGATTCTTTAAACGAGCTGCAATACAATTGTCTCGCTCGACGAGGATAAAGTGAAAAAAAAAAAAAAAAAAGTAAAGAGAAACAGCCTAAAAGCTCTGGAAAGCGTCGAACATGTAACATTAATAACTACTACAATTAGTCGCACCATAATACGGGGGGCGATGTCGACACCGCCAAACGAAGATCATGAAACATAGAAGACAAAAAAAGAAACTCTTTTTAATTCATACGCAGCACATTTTTCAACGTATTCATCGCGCGCGCCATTCGCCCGATCACTGGGAGATATCATAGTAACCCCACCGGGATCGTCGAAGACCAAGTCAATCAGTTTCTACCGTTCGCGATTGTTGTTCGATCAGAAGAGTTCCACCTTCGACGGAAGGCACACTCGGCACACACGATTAGACACAGGTCGACTTCTGATGAGCCGTCAGGTTTCCCTGGCAAGAGAAACCACGGTTGCAGATCTGACAGACGTACGGCCTCTCGCCGGTGTGTCCTCTCCTGTGGATGGTCAGCGTGGATCTCTGCGAGAACGCCTTCGGACATTGATCGCATTTATACGGTTTCTCGCCGGTGTGCACCCTCCTGTGCATCCGAAGATTCTCGGAGTCGGTGAATCCTTTGCCGCAGATGTCGCAGACGTACGGTTTCTCGCCTGTGTGGATGCGCCTGTGCTTCTTCAGATGCTCAGCGCTGCTTAGACTCTTGCCGCAATAGTCGCAGAGGTACAGCTTGGTGGGATTGTGACTCTCCTTGTGACGAAACAGCGATCTCTTCGTGGCAAGTACTCGGCCGCATATGTCGCAAGCGGTGCTGGTCACCTTGTTCGCTTTCATCTCAGGATGCATGCGTCTGCAATGGGCGGACAGCTGTCGTCTCAGGTAGAAAGCATTGCCGCACAGTTGACAGACGAACGGCTTGTCACCGGAATGGATATTGTAGTGCTCCTGTAAATCGATCGCTTTACGGAATCTTTTGTCGCAGTCGTTGCACTTGAACGGCAGGTCCGCTTTGTCGGTGTGTCTCAGCATATGGATGCTGAGCGCCGCCAGTACGGTCGTCTCGTAGTCGCACTCCTTGCACATGTAGCTGGGATAGAAGTGGGTCTTCTCGTGCCTGGTCAGGTCGCGGAACAGACGGAACTTTTTGGGACAGTGCTTGCACGTGAGATCGCCGACGGTGTGCCGCATCAGGTGCTTCTGATAGTTGCTCTTGTGCCGGAATACCTTGTTGCAGGTCTTGCAGAGAAACTCGAGTTCTGGCTTTTCTTTCTTCACTTTTAAAGACCCAGAACGGTTCACGTTTTTGCCGCCTTTGCGACCACGTTTACGACCGGTATGCTTCTTCATGTGTTTCCTCAGGTTCACGCACGTTCTGAAGACCCGTCCGCACTGAGCGCAGGTGTGCTTCCGTTTGCCCTTATGCTCGATCTCGTGATTGTCCAACAACGTCTGAGAAGCGAAGAACACGCCGCACTGTTTACAGTGGTATGCCAACGGCAGATCCTCTTCGTCGTCATCGTCGTTCACTTCCTGCTTGATGAAGTTTTGTGCCTGGTTCGTCGAGGCCGAAGCCGCTGCCGCCTTGCCGGTAGCAGCTGACTGGGATCTCTTCGCGACTGGATGGACGGCGTCCTTCTTCATCAGATCGAGCTTGGTCAACATTGCCATCGGATAATACTCTTCGGAATACTCTAGCTGGTTGTACCTGAAATAGAAAAATTGGAATGGGCACATCAGTATCGGATGTCCTCGGTGTGCGATCGCAGTCTTTTCTGCGCCCGGACACGTTGTCCAGTGAAAATAATACAATGTTATCGTATACCTGTAAGCGAAGTCGACATATCAAGCACGTTCTACAAATTCAAGATGGCGGTTTTCTGGAGGCGTTTTCACGGAGCGATTAGAATGACTCGTTTTGCGGGTTGTGTATCGTATACGAATTCGTAGAGATTAATCAAGGTGGCAGACGGTACAAGAGACATGCTATACAGAATCGAGCGTAAAATGGCGGATTATTAGTCACGAAGATAAACACGTTATCTCCTGGAACAAGTTACATTCCGAATAACACAGCGATCATGTTTCGGCGGAGTCAAACAATCCTTTTATTTAACAAACTTTTTACATTCGACACGGTATCTAAGTATCTTGAAAAAATACTATATTCGTACATGTTTCACAAGCTCTCGATTATTTTCTCACAGCAGGCACGCACATTGTCTCAAGGTTCGTTCTTCAGTGTTAATAAATGCATTCATGGTACGTTCCAGTCAGGTGCACGCACAAAATCTTGACTTGCAGAAGAAAATATGGATTTTTGCAGGACAGTGACTTACACGTGGATCTAAGTCGTCCCTTTATTTTGTCATTTTTAGACGAAGTAAAGAATTTAAAATCGATATCTCTTATTAATAGTAAAATAAGACCCATAAGGACTTCTATCTGCAAGTAAAGATTTCACAAACGTCACAAATTCAACGTCAATCACCCATTATCACGAATATTACCTTTAAATGTTCAATAACTTAAAAACCTACTCCGTACATAAAGTTAAGTACAACACGTCAACTAACTTGACTGCAGTACTAGTTGCCATTAATATTATGCAAGGTAAAGTTAAAGTCAGGTAAGGCTGTAGCATCGAAACGTCTTGTTTAATTCACTTAAAAACGGCGTTAAGTTTAAATAATCATCATCATTAATCCGACTGGTCGGCCGCGTTAACCGGGTGCACTTTGTTATGAGCGTTCAAAGATGATCTAGAGACGAACGACTTGTTGCAGTAGTCGCACTGGTACGGTCTCTGCCCGGTGTGATATCGCTTGTGTATGACCAAGGTTGAATGTTGCGTGAACGATTTTCCACAGGTGTCGCAGGTGTACGGTTTCTCCCCGGTGTGCGTCCTCTTGTGAACCACTAAGGTGCTCCTCTTGATGAACGCTTTGCCGCACACGTCGCAGATCAACAGCTTCTCACCGCTGTGGAGCCTCAGGTGATCCTGCAGTGATCCCTTCGAGGACACCGATTTCCCGCACAAATGGCACTCGTGTCTGTTCTCGCCCATGTGGGACTTCACGTGGAACACCAAAGAGTTCTTGTAGACGAACGTCTTGCCGCAAAACTCGCACTGATGCTTCACAGGCTTGAAGTCCGGGTCGTGCACCATCAGATGCTTCACGAGCGTGTGATTGTTTGGGAAGGATTTGTTACAGGAGTGACACACGTGCTCCTTGGCGCCGTGTTTCACGTTCATGTGACCGTGTAGCTCGGCGTTCGTGAAGAATCCTTTTTTGCAAACCTCGCAGTATCTGGTGTACTTGTCGAAATGACGTCTCTGATGGGTGGTCAGCTGGAAAGCTTGAACGAACGCGTGTCCGCAAACGTCGCAGACGAAATTTCGCTCACGTGTGTGGATCCTTCGGTGGACGGCCAGGGTGTTGGTTCTCTTGAAGGACTTGCCGCAGATGTCGCACTGATACGGACGAGCATCACTGTGTGAAACTAAATGGCCTTCGTAAAGGTTCTTCGTCCTGAAAAGTTTCGCGCACATGCCACATTGATAGTAGGTCTGGGACGATGAATGATCCAACGAAGAATTATTCTCTAGAATAGCAGGGTCTTTTGTGTCCTGACACTCGTCTTGATTTAACGATGGACCGTTCGGACAGTCTGGTTTTGGTTCCTCGAGAATTTCTATCTTCATATTCATGGAAAGATCCACATTGTTCATTGTAGGTGAAATTGATTGTTCTGTGGTACATTCCTGTAGTGATGTTTCGATGCTTGAACTACTTCTTCTTCTACGTCCTCTTTCTGGACCCGTAGATCTGCGAAGAAAATGAGAAAAAGAGTTTCGTCAATAGTGATTCTTACTCTATCGATATAGATGCAACGACAACTTCGGTTTTACGAGGAAATCTGTTGTTTTTTTTATTTAGAACGAGTCGATTCGATTTACATGTGGAATAGAGTGATGGTACGGGGAAATGCGGTTTTGAGCCTCGAATTTCTTCTCACTGTCCTTCCTCTTCTTTCTTCTTCAGCGTAAAGGGCGCTTTTGTGTTCAGTGTTTTCACGGGAAAATCTCAACGGTGTAAAACTTCTGTAATGCTTCATGGATACAACATGAACTTCTGAATATACTGACTGTACAAAGATTATTTTCCGAAGGGATGATAATCTCATAGGACTTTAGTTGTATTGTTTCTCTTCTACACCACTAACTTTATCCTTTTAGCTTACAAAAGAAATCTTTTCGATGTATATTTGAAAGTTTGTTTATGTCAATATTTAATCCTTGTACAATTTGAAGAGAATAAAAATTGAATTTTTATATCGATATCATGTATTTCTGAATTGGAAAAGATAAAACTATTTGAATATTGCTTTTAACAAATTAAAAGTTAAATATTGTACAGTTGAAACATCAGTACCAATTTCTTATAATAAACTAAATGCACTGATAAAAAAATAGTAATACAACATACAAGTTTTAACGTTTGAAAGATTACTGTATAAGCAAAATGAATAATAGAAGGCTTTTAATTTTTTACATTACGTGCTTTAAACACAGAAGTGTAATGATACGATCAGAGAATATGTATTTATAGAAAACGTACACTGAAGTAAATAGATAATATAGATTATAGATCATTCTTGTTTGCGTAATCGTTTCATTAATTTATATGAACACATTACAAGTCTTATAGGTAGATTATAATAATTAATGAACACTGCTGCTCGAAAATATTTAATCATGCTTCAGGTGTAACAAAAAATATCCTTTTTTACTAAAACAATATTTGTATTC